ACTGCCCAACTTTCAAAGGGCATAACTCGCTCATACGAACTCGGAATTGAGCAAACTCGGTGGAGTTGGAAAGATCGTTCCAAGGGCTATGCAACCATAACTGGAACTACTCCTAAATAATCCTGAGCTAGGAGTTATGACCGCTCAAAGTTGGCCAAAAACTCACTGATTTCCACACTTAGCCAAATTTCCAGATTTTCAACTTTATTCCAAAAATGACTATTTTCGATTTTTAAGCCTCTTCAAAGATATTTCAAATTACCGGATGTTACAGTGCATTTTTGAAATCTTAAGCTACTTGAAAATTCATGGTTATTTGTCATTGTTGTTTTGTGGTTCTTGATTTCAATTAGATTCTAAATGTTTACTGAAATTGCTTGGATCCTCATGTAGTTTGATAAAAAAAATTATTGGAGAAGTGAGTTTAGCTTTGTGAAACATGAAAAAGGTCATTAGTTCACGTGGATGAAAAATTAAACTTTAGATCCATTAAGTTTAACTCGTAGTGTGTAGTGTTCTTAACTATTCTGATTGAGTTGGAATGTTTTTCATAGCTCATTGTAGCCTTGAAACATAAATTTATGAATAATATTCTAGCATATTGTCATAAATAGATCTAATATGAAAGAATTTAATAAATCAACAAATCAATATTGTCTCGTCGTTGTTTTTCTTGATGAATCTAGACATGTTGTCTTTATTTGAAGTTCACTAGTAGGTTTAGGATTATGCATTTGCTAAGACCTTTGAGTTTTATTATATATAGCAACACATATTCAATTAAAAGAAAAAGATGTTATTAGTTCATTTTACATATATATATTTTTTATCATTATGATGATTTGACATGTTTAATAGAAACTTATGTTCATCTTAGTAAATTTGTTATCCTAAATTATTATTCATCTGACTCTTATATATAATCAAAGGTTATGGCACCAAGTAAGCAATGGATGCAACTTGTTGATGATCGACTTAATGAGACCTACTTTATCGGGGTGTAAATATTTTTGAATTATGCTTTTCAAAAAACAGGAGAAATTTATGAAATACGATGTCCGTGTGTCAAATGTTGTAATACCACATTAGGAACACGTGAGACAGTCAGAACACACTTCAAAGTATATGGAATAATTAAAAATTATACCTTTTGGTATCATCATGGGGAAGTCTTAGGTGAGCCAGAATCAGAATGTGAAGATAGAGATGATAATGAAGTAAAAAATTGTGAAAATGAGGATGAAGTACCAAAGGAAAATTGGCATGCCCATGTTGCAACAAAGATACTTCCTCAATTAGATTGGCCAATTGTAAGAAACAATGTTTTATGGGTCATCGGCGTTATCTTCCTCTTAATCACAAATTGAGAAATGATAAGAGTCATTTGATGGCACAGAAGAGAAAAGGCTCCCACCCAAAAAACGTTCTGGTATTGAGATTCTTCATCAAGTTCATGATCTTGAAGGGTTGCAATTAACAAAGGAACCAAAGAAAAGAATCAAAATATCACATGATAGTCGAAAAGATAATTGGAACAAGAAGAGTATCTTTTTTGAACTTCCATATTGGGAGTCTCTTTTGTTGCGACATAATTTGGATGTTATGCATATTGAGAAAAATATATGGGATAGTATTTTGGGGACAATTATGAATGCCAAAGGAAAGACCAAGGACACTATTAAAACTCGGCTAGATTTGAAAGAAATGAATATAAGGCCGGAGTTGCACCCTATTCAGAAAGGTGAAAAATATGAAGTTCCAACTGCATGTTACACCTTATCTCCACAAGAAAAGCACAATTTCTGCCTATTTTTGAAGAATTTAAAGGTTCCAGATGGATTTTCATCCAATATTTCTCAGTGTGTTAACTTGAAAGATCATAAAATTTCTAATTTAAAGAGTCATGATTGTCATGTTCTTCTCCAACATTTACTCCCTCTTGCACTACGTGGTATGTTGTCCAAAGAAGTGTGTGAACCACTAATTGAATTGTCTTTATTTTTTAATATGGTTGGAGCTAAGTCATTAAGGATTGATGACTTGGAGCAGGTTGAGGCTCAAATTCCTATAACTCTTTGCAAGTTAGAAAATGTATTTCCTCCTTCATTTTTTGATGTCATGGTGCACTTGCCTATTCACTTAGCTAATGAAGTTATGCTTGGTGGACCTGTCCAGTATCGATGGATGTATCCCATAGAACAATGGTTATATTTTTTAAAATCTCTCATTGGTAATAGGGCTTGGCCAGAAGGTTGTATTACAGAGGGTTACATTGCAAATGAATGTATGAATTTATGTTCAAGATATTTACAATTGACACAAAATTTAATAGGCCAGAACAAAACTATGATGGTGATCTAAAAAAATCTGACGGAGGATTATCTCTATTTTGTCAATTTGGAAAAACATTGGGGGCTCCAAAACAGCGTGATCTTGAAGTAAATGAATTAGAGCAAGCACATATATACATACTGAAGAATTGCGATGAAGTTCTACCATTTCTAGAGTATGATTTTTTTCTACATATCATACTTCATTGCCTTGTTTCTTTAGGATTATTTTTTTGTATGACATTTGTGGTTCAATTTAAATTTGTAGAGAGTTTGCACAAATTCATGTAGATTCTACTCAACACTTGTCTGATGATGAATGGAACAGACAATTTATTGAATGGTTTCAAGATAAGGTGAGTATAATATACACATCAAATTTAGAAATCTAATATTGAGTTACTCATTTAAAAGTGATCAATTTTATCTTGTTGATAGGTTGCACAATTGCATAAAGAAGATGATAGTCGAATCATGGAAGATCTCCTCGCACTTTCACCTGGTCCTACTAAATATGTATTACATTATAATGGTTACATTGTCAATGGATATAGATTCCATGCAGAAGATTATGATAAAAATTTAAGGACTCAAAATTGTGGTGTGGTTGTCGTTGGTGAAATTGATAAACATAGTGAGAACATTGATTACTATGGAATTTTAACCGATGTTCTTGAATTGCAATTCACAGGTAGAAGAGTTGTTTTGTTTGAATGCAAATGGTTTGATGCATATGAAAAGACAAAAGGACTGAAAATAGATGAGCATGGCATTGTAAGTGTAAATTGGGGGCGATTTTTGAAAATAAATAAGCCTTTTGTATTAGCTGATCAAGCCTCTCAAGTATATTTTGCTAATGATAATACCAATAGAGGTTGGTGTGTAGCGAGAAAGGTACAACCTTGTGATTCCTATGAAATTGTGCAACAAAAGGACAATGAATTTGAAGATTTAGAAAATTCTTCACAAAATAAACGAAAAAAGAATGACTGAGGTGAAGTATCTCCTTAAGCTTTAGCATATTCATTATTATACATTTTGATATATGATTTTTGCTAGTACATTATTTTTATAGTGTCTTAATTTTTTTTGGCAAGTATATGATTTTTAGAATGTTTTTCATTTTTTTTTGTTAACACATCATCTTTGTTTTTTGGTAGGTTTGATATGAACCCATCAAAGGATGAAAATGAGGTGGCATCTAGGGTGAAAGCTACTACCAAATATGCATATGTGGCACCGGGTGCTGTAGGGAAGGGACGAGGAAGAGGGCTTAAATCTATGTTGTCTTTAGGGGTGTCAAGAACTGATATTCCATTTTCTCCATCTACTAATCATGTTATGCAGTACAATCAATTTACTGAAACGAGTATGATTTTTTTTTATTTGTGTTATTAATTTGTACGAGGAATTTTAATACTAATTTTTTATTGTCGCTTTTCTTATACTAGGTGTGGTTGCAAAGGGACGAGGAAAAGGTCTTAGATCTATGTCTAATGCTCGAGGAGAGCGAACAATGAACAAAAACTACTTGAGTGTTGATAAAGGACATATTCCATCTTTTTCATCTACTGAAGAACTTATGCAATACATCAAAACAAATTCATCAAGTATGATTCTACAATTTATTATGTTTTAGAATTGAATATAATTTATTGCTAATGTTTATCTGATATGATTTCTTGCACTAGGTACTCAAGGGAAGTCTCAAGGGCTTAAATCTATGTGCTCAATTGAAGATTCTGAAAATGAGGAGCGATCTTTCAATCAAAATGCTCATTATGTTAGTCAAAGTATGTCAAGACCTTCTGCTTCTCAAGGATGACGAACAATGAATAAAAAGTTTTTGGCTTCTGAGAAAGAGCATAAGCAAGCTAATGTTCCAATTTCTCTTTCTACTAATGATGTTCTGGAGTCCACCCCAACATTTGAAACAAGTATGATTTCTTAATTGTTTTTCTTTTTCAAAATTGAATTTAATTTAATTCAAGTACTTTTATTGATACAATTTCTTGCATTAGGTTTTCTCAAGGATTGAGAACAATGAATAAAAAGTTTTTGGCTTTTGAGAAAAAGCATATGCAAACTGATGTTGCATTTTCTTTTTCTACTGATAATGATATGGAGTCCACCCCAACATTTCAAACAAGTATGATTTCTTAAATTTTTTTGTTTTTCAGAATTGAATTTAATTTAATTCAAGTAATTTTACTGATATAATTTATTGCATTAGGTTTCTCTCAAGGATGGAGAACAACAGATAAAACTGCTTTGGCTCATGAGAAAGAGAGTTTGCATTCTGATATTCCAATTTCTCCTATTGATCAAGTTAAACAGTCTGCCCAAATAGCTGAAACAAGTATGCTTTCATTTCTGATATCTATTTAATCACAAGTTTATCATATGTACAATATTGTCTACCATTTTATAAATTATGTAAAATGTAGGTTCATGTGCTACTGGAATGGATAAAAAGGTTCGAGGAAGTAACAAGTGCAAAGAAGTTGCATCGCTTGATATTGGACAAAAGCTAAAAGTGACATTTTACAATAATCGAACAATTGGGAAGAATAGTAATCTATTTTCGAGGCACTTGGGAAAAATAGTTCATGATCGTAATATATGTCCGTCGGGAGTATCATCATGGAAACACATTAAGGAGGAAAAGCTAAATCACATGTGGGCTGTTGTTAAGGTAATTGGATTAAGTATTTCAACTTCTTCTTGGGCTACTCTCTTCTTAATACAATTCTCGCTGCTTAATTATTGTGCTCATTCATGTTTCAATTTGATACATTGTAGGATAAATTTGATAGTGATGACATGAATAGTCATCGAGATCATGTTTTGGGATGGATGAAAGAGTTATGGAATAAATGGAGAGGTCAATTGCATGAAAAGTATGTGAAGGGTAAGCCTATCCAAGAGGCTCTTACGAATATGCCTAAGGGGGTAGAAAAGAAGCAATGGGAGTGGTTGGTAAAAGAACATTTTACTTCAAAAGATTTTCAGGTTTAACATATTACCTAATTATGTAATTTGTTTCATACTATGATTTAATTTTGATAATTTATTTATAACACTTGAATTTAATGTTGTTACTCAAATATAGGCGAGAAGTAATAGAAACGCAATAAATAGAGCTAAGCTGAAGATGCTTCATCATATTGGTAGCAAGCCAATTAGAGAGATTATTTATCAAAAGGTGTTATCATCCAATCCTTTTCTGTCTTAATATTGATGAACCGTTCTTTGACATGTTTACTTTTATGTAAAGGGCGGAAAAGATGGCAATCCACCAGATTTGGCAACTATCTTTTACGAGACTCGCAAGAAGAATAACACACTTGTTGATTCTGAAACAATCAAGAAGCATGTGCGTTTGGTTAATGGAACATGTTCTTAACATTTAGTTATTATGGGATTTGAAAAAAAATCTCCTCTATACACTATGTAGGCTCAAATTCAAGAATTGGTGGAGTCTGAACCATCACTTTCTAGCATAGAAATTGTTGAGAAATGCTTTGGACCTCAAAGTCGTAGTCATGTATTTGGCTTTGGAGGTGGAGTAAAAGCAAGAGATTTGAAAGGTGAGACTTCCTCAAAAGCTGAATTGTTGGCTGAGCTACGTTCAACTCAAAAGGAAAATCAGTCTTTGAAGGATTGCATGTCTAACTTTCAAAATGAGATGAAAGAACTGAAGGAATTGAAAGAATTTTTTTTAGCGCAACACCCTAATTATCAGCCTCCAATTCAAGAGAATGACTATTCAGATCCTTGATTATACCATGTGAGTAAAACCTTACCTGAAACATCAATTTATTGTTCTGGTTCTGCGTAGCAAAGCTATTAATTGCTGGTTGTTTTATCTTAAAATATATTTGCACGTTTGATAAATTTTAGAATGATAAATAGTCTATAAATTTGGATCACTATTGAATAGTCCTAACCTCATTCTAATGGAGAAAATATTGCGAAGAGCTCTGTCAATATCAGATTCTTCTAATTTCTGCTTCTCCAAAGCTAATGAATCTGCTATATCCTGTGGTTTCTGGTGGCTTTTCCTTCTTCCACACAAGTCTTGAATATTAGACTCTTCTAGTTTCTGCTTCTGATAACATTTGTAAAAAGATCCAACAGATAATTTCTAGCGGCTTTTCCTTCTTGAGCATCAAAGGTGAAACGGTGGTGACTATTCCAGTAATCTAAATCTTGAGCAGCAAAGTTCTTGCAGCAAGCTGAAGATTGAAGATGCCCATCTTTGAGCTTCCCACTGTCAAAACTATCCCCCTGAAGTCTTTACATAAGTCACTGCATATTTTTCTACCATCGTAGGGTCTTCCCCAGCTGTTTCTTGTGCTTTCCCCCATCTTGGATCCCTTACTATGTTCACATTTAGTTCACCTGCATTGTACACTGCTCTTGCTTCTCTCAAAATTTCCTACTTTAAGTACAACATCTTATAATACTAGCTATTTAATGCATTCCTTCGAATTTCTGTATTTTCCATACAATTATTTGTTGGATATTTTTACAAATGTTATCGATCAAATACCAAAAGGTAATTTCAATGATCGAGTGATCACACTAAGAAAAATTGTTTCTCAAATCAATTTCTCTTTAGTCGTTCAGAGTGGCTTCGAGTAAGGTGTAAGTCCTATGTTTATTAAAAGTTGAATATCTACATTGTCCTAGTTGTATCTTTGAGAGTGAAAATTTAATTGTATACGGTACATGTAGTGGTTCCTCTTTTTGTGAATACATTTAGACTTTCCCTCCTGTTTAGAACATGTACAATGTAATGCTATATTTTTTCAGCACACTAACTCATGATAAAATTTTACAGAGAAAATGGACTTTTGGCTATTTAAAGATTTTCAAGTGATGATAACAAACTCATTTAGAACATGTAAGCTCTTCTTCATCTCTTAACTTTAACTTTTTGACTAAGTTTTTTTCCTTGTAAATTTTCGTTTGCGATTACAGTTTACTCGTCACAATATAAGTAATTCTTGATGTTTTACTGTACAATCGTCATAGCAACATTAAGCTGACTAGAAACTCAGACTATTTTATGACAATATGTTTCTAACTTGTGTAGTCATCGAGTACCTCATATGATGACATTAGTTAGTATGACGTTAGGAAGAGTTAAGAAATTGAACTTACTATAAGTGTTAGAAAGACGGAGAAGAAAAAGATTAACCAAAGAAATGATATCATGAGTTAACAAGGGTTGTTTCTTCCTGTTTCCAGCTTGTTTGGTCTGTACATTTTGATTAGAATCTGTCTCATTTCTTGTGTGTGCCCCTTGTGGTGGTGTCCCTCCATTTGTTGTGGCCTCACCCCTGTTTTCCATTCGATGCTCCTGCATGTTTAGGTTAGCATAAATTTTTTTATTAGAGTTTGTACCTACTTGTCGTGTTGCTTTTTGGTGATGCTGCCTTGTTATCCTGTTTTGTGGTGAAGTTGGCCTCCAGACTGTTTTCTGCACTTTGTCTTCCTGTTGCTTGTTGTGTTTTCTCTTTTGTGTTTTCCATCCTTCTTCTTGTTGTTGGTCTGCTTGCTCTTGGTTTCTGAAGTTCCTGTTTGTTGGATGATGATCCTCCTACTTGTCCTTTGCCTTGTTCTGTTTATTGGCATCTTCTTTTTGTATCTGCTCACCTTTGTTTTTATTCTTTTTCTCATCCCCCAGTTCTCTTTTTTTCCTGAAAGTTGCATAAATATCAGAATTTATAGGGTGAATTATGATATTTCAGGCTATCTCACTTAGTTCAAGTAACCCAACTATTATAAGGAAACATGCCAGCTCATAAACAAACATGCTAGCAAGCTTAATTATGCAACATAAAACATTTGTTTACTAAGTGATACTCGCATTACGATTAAAATATGAAAGACAACTCATTCATTGCTTCTCTTTGGTTGTATCTCTTCTACTTATATAGATAGGTATTAGGCTGGAGAACTCTTTGCACCACTACTTGCTGGAAAATGTACTAGCACAGGTAGTCCTTGCTTGGCATTTTGGACCACATATTGGTCCAAGTATTTAGGGGGCTGTTTACCCCTGCTTCTGCGGCGTATTGCTCCTTTGTGGTCTTGCGGATTTGTTGCAGATGCCATGGAGACCATTCTGCTTGAGCTTCTTTTATATAATCTTTGATCACGGCGATATTGTGTTCTACACTTCCTAAAATAAAATAGCCTACAAAGTTCCAACTGTTGCAGCAATTAGTGTTGCAGCTGCTACCACTATTTTGTGTACAACAATTTCCCACAAAAAATGACTGTTGCAGCAATTAGTGATACAGCTGCTGCAGAAATTGTTATTTAATTTAATCACAGCTTTCTGTTTATCTTTATATATAGGTCTTCTAACCGAAAGTTTTATTTCTTTTACAGATTTTTGATGCTGAAATTTGCAAAAAACTGATGTTAAACAACATGTAGATTGACCATTTTTTTATGGGAAGGTGAAGGCAACTTTGGATTATAGTTTAAGGCTAGTATATGATTTTTTTGCTAAGTGTTCATGATCACAATGTTATTACTAGCTTACCTCATTGTTGTATATAGTCAGATGCCTTATACTCACCTTATTTTGTAATTACATTATATATTATATATGAAAGCGACAAGTTTATATTAATTATCGTATTTTCTAGGTGCAAATGCAATGTGATTTAAGGACTAGATTGTAAATCCTTAAAAATCCTTTTTGAGTAGGATATCTGTAATGGTTGCGAAATGATTTATGGGATCACCTTCAAAATGGTCCCGAAATGATTTAGGGACCGGCTTAAAAGTTTTCGTAAATTGATTTATAGACGAGCTAAAAACTGGTCGCAAACTGATTTACAGACCAGCTTCAAACTGGTCGCAAAATGATTATGGACTAGCATAGAAGTCGTCCCAAAATGATATATGGACTAGTTAGAATCTAGTCGAAAAATGATTTAACGACCATAATTTCAATTACAATATGTGCGAATAGGTACCAGATATATGGTCCCTAAATGTATTTTAGGGACCAGCATTATACTAGTCCCGAAAAAGAATCAGCGACCGGCCCGATAATCTCGTCCCTAAAGGTCCTTAGCGACTAAGGCTATAAGGACAAGTGCAGCTGGTCGCTATTGTCCTTTTTGGGACCAGATTCTTACTTATAGCGACCAGTTTTCCCTTCGCTATTGGGCAGTTTTCTTGTAGTGAATCCTACCAAGATAAGTCAGCCTCAACCCAACGAAAATGAAAGAAATATGAAAATATAAAGTAGAATAAGATAAAGCAGAAAACGTCATATTAACGTTGTGATCCTATATTTGATAGTGTGACAACATTCAAAGTCCGTTCGGGAAGGAAAAGCTCCGGCAAAGTGATTTGGAGCACACGAGGTCGGCCTAAAGGTAGGCTATGGCTTCCTTTCTATTAGATTGAGCTTAATTGTGTAAAAGCATGTGGATTGGAGTGAATTATATTGGGGGTGGGTACCAGTTTCTTACTTTTACTTTGATTATACCTTGTGCTAGGATCAATTGGCCATATTTCGGGTGTAGTACCACGTGAGTCGGGTTAGTACGTAGAATTGCTTGCTTATGTGCTAAATGTTATTGTATGCTTGTATGATGCGTGTTGCATGCTTTGTTCATCATCAGGTGTGAGCATGGTGTCCTTAGTCTAGGTTAGGCTAGCGTTGTCTTAGACTTATGACCCGTATGGAGTGGATATCCTTGACTTTCTGCCTACGTCGTTCGGCTGACTTAGCTCCCTATAGAATGGAATAACATACTTGAGTTTGATAGTCTGAGCCTTAGCTTAGGCGTTATCGCTGCTTGTTGCACTTCTGTATATTCTCCCTCTAATTCTGTGAATCTGACATGTTCTCGGAGGTTCGGTGCATCACCAGAGGTGTGGGATTGAGATAGTATATTCTTGGAGCCTTTTTTATGATTTCTTGGAGTGGACGATGTTCCACGATGACTATTGCTGGATTGGATCCTATAGGAGATACCATCACCCTTGGGTCGTTCTTTCTAGCTAGGCTGGGAGCGTATCGCTGGCTGGGTGGACTCGGTGATTTCGGCGATCGCCCTTGGGCCTCTCTTTCTAGTCGGGTTGGGAGTGTGCTATTGGTTGGGTGTCTTCGGGTCACTCTTTCTAGCTGGGCTGGGAGCTGACTACATGGTACGACGACTCGCGATATCTACCTCACCCCCGGGTCCCTCTTTCTAGCTGGGCTGGGAGTGGACTATCTGGTTGGGTGCCCCCCGGGGTCACTCTTTCTAGCTGAACTGGGAGTGCACTGCTGGCTGGGTGGAGTCTGATGGGTTATCTTTGTAACTTTGGGCTGGGAGCCGGTTCTATACTTTCTCAGTAGACTTAGCTATTTTGTGTACCTGTCGGATTTATGGGGGTTCGTTCAGGTTTTATTTAACCTTGCGCACGAGTGTACCTTCTGGGCTTATGGGGGTCTAGTTAGGTTTAGTTTAACTGTACTTAGTTTATTTCTGGTATGCTCATGTTCTTTCTTTTCATATTCGTTTTGACCTCTTTGTCTAGATTCTATCCTTTCTTATTGTTTTTATCTTTTTTGCTCAGTTGAGCATTGATGCCTACTAAGTACCTGTTGTTTTGGTACTCATGCTACACTCTGCATCTATTTCATGATGTAGGTCCAGTACCAGTTACCAACGGTGATTAGTTCCAGCCTTCTTTTGCAGATGTGATTCAGAGACGAGGGTGAGCACTTGGCATTTTGGGTTTGTTCTGTCTCCTTTTGTTTTATATAGTCTTGTTGCTTTTGAGACATTCCTTGTTGTGGTCCACTTTTGGGACTTGTACTCCTTATTAGACAACTCTGTACTAGTGACTTCCAGGCTCTAGGAGGGATTTTTGTATATATTTATTTTGGTTTGCTTCCGTCTTGTTGTCCTTTGTTTAGATTATTGCTTTCGCTAGTTTCTACCATTGCGCTCATTACTTGATGTTCTAGGTTACGGTAGGGTATAGTAGGTGTCATCATGACTCGAGAAATCGGGTCGTGACACTCTAATAGGTGCTCTATGGTCTTATGGTGGGATTTGGGCTAGGGAAATATTATTTAAGTGATTGTTTCTTTTTATATAAATTGATATATGATTTTGGTTGGATAATGATTTCGTTTTAATGAGTATTGATGAGTTTTAGAGTTGCACATGTTTTATCTTTGTGCTTAAATGAGTTGGTAAGAGTATGTATATTTGGTACGCCCAACATGTGGTGTTAACTGGTGTCAATCACGTCTAGGTGGTATTTCGGGATGTGACAAAGTTAGTATCAAAGCCTAGGCTTTAAGTCTCGTGTCATGGAGTAGTGTTTGGTAGAGTTACAGATGGGTATATAGGCGCCCATACTTATGACCTTGAGGCTACCAAACATTTAGGATATTTTCTCTTTTTCATTCCTTGTTCGTGCTTGGAGTTAAATCAAGTTTAACCCTTGAATATTATTTTGCAGATGGCTAAGAAACATGGTTCTTCCTCTGCTGTTCGATCTAATGCATCTGTTGAACGAGGTATGAGACTTGGTATTGCCCCAGTGGCAGTCAAGGCAGGTTCGAGATACTCCATCAACAGGGCCAGCTGTTGTGCCTACTGTTGCTTTGCTAGTTGATGTCGTGATGAGATTATTGAATGTGTTGGAGGCATTAGTGCCTAATCAGGGTGGAATTTAAGTACCCCAGGCTACTCCACAAATCCAAGAAAAGGGGTTAATATAACTTATAAAATGATTGTGTGCTTCAATTAGTATTGACTGTGTGCTTCAATTAGTATTATTGGAAGAACTTATATTTGAGAAAGTCGAATTGAAGTTAATTAACAGAAAAGGGGTTAATGTAACTTATAAAATGATTGGTATTAGAGTAGAAATTAAACAACGAATTAAATGGCAAGCATAGAATGATAGAAAAACACTTTATTTTACATCAACTGGCAATAACATAGAATAACAATTAAAACTATAAAATTTCACGTGCCACATATAATGGCCATGTAAACTTAAAGACTATTTGTTCTAAATATCGTTACTTTATTAATTTCATGTAGAATACTGGATAGATTATTTTTATGTTATCATTGAGTATGTTGTTGTTGTAATAGTATCAAGTATATAATTATTATATCACATGTAAGCGAAATAAGCATTGTATGTGGTTAATTAATTAGGGTTTTCGAGATGAATATTGTTTCCAAGAAGAGCACTGAAAATTTGAGCAAGTTCAAATGCCATGACTTTGTACATTCACCTCCTTCACCATCACAGCATTTGCACTCCAAACCAATCGTTGAAAACATCTTCCAATAATCACCTATATATTTAATTATATAAAATAAGAAATAATCATTATTAATTAACATATAAATTAATTCCAAGACAAAGAAAATCATTTAATGTTGCCAAAGAAAAATTAAAATAGTGAGTGCTGACTTTTAGGATGTTGAAGAAATACATGGTTAGCTTCAAGACTTGAAGTGGTTATCATCATTAATAGTACAAGAAGAACAAAGAACATAAAATGTTTTGAAATGCCCATCATAAAGAGATGTTGTTAAGAGAGCACTCTGGAATTACAAATTGATACTAAATTATGCTGTTATTTATATGCACTAGTATACCTATCCGTGTAATACACGAATAGTATTAAAATACTCCCTCCAGTTCATTTTTATTTGTTATGTTGCGTTTTTTGAAAGTTAATTTGACTAATTTTCAAAGTTAAATGAGATTACATTAATTTGATATTTTAAACAAAAAATTTAGATATTCAAAAACTATATAAAAAGTACTATAAATTGCATTTTTTTTTCTCCATATGATCAATATGATTAAAAAATACATCGTAAAATATCAGTCAAAGTTTTTACACTTTGACTCTAAAAAAGGAAACTATGACAATTAAAAATAGACGGGGTGGTATTACTTTTTAATCGTTTTATATAGTTGGGCTACTAGAAGGAAACAAAATAGTAAGAGCGTGCATCGCGGGTTAAATCCTATTAATACGCACAAGTGGGGCAGCATCATTAGACAAATCTACTTCCAATCTTGAATTTGCACATACATATTCTCTTTACGTGAAAGAAGGATCATAATCAACATACATATACACAGGGCCGACTCAACAACATTGGGGGCCTAAAGCGAAATTTAAGAGAGGCGCCCCAAAAATTTTTTTCATCATATGTACTTTTATTTAAAATATACTTTTCTAGCTATTTCAGATGCAAAGTTATTAAGTATTGTTTTATAATCAATTTATTTTAATAATTCCTTTTCAAATGATAATATAGCTAATTCATTCAATCTATCTTGAGACATTGTTGATCTTAAAGAAAATTTAATCAATTTTAATTTCGAACGGAGAAAATTTTGGTTGAGGCAATGGTTATGAACTGTTAACACAATATGTGTATTTGGAAAAGAATCAAATCTTTTATTTGATTGAGTATTTTCATTACATCATTATCTTCTACTTGTATTGTTTATCTTTAACACTTTTACTTCAAAAAATAAATCTAAACCATCAATTCAGAATAACTAGTATGTGTTAAAGAAAGTTCAAGGTTAAGACAATATTTTTTAAAAAATTTCATCATCTTGTAATCTCAATATTTTACCACTAAATAAGAAATCAAAAATATTTTTATATGCTTCAATTGGTTCAAATCTATTTTAAAGTGAAAAAATAGTTTGATCTACTCTACATATATAATGTAATCAACTCTAAAGATTCTTCGAGGGACTTAGTGATTTCGTTATCCATATTTTCATCAAATTGTTTCTTACAAAAATTGTATTTGTAATCATGTCATATGCAATTTCTTTAGTAGAAATCATAGCACTTATAGTACATATAATTTATTTATTTTTAAAAATAATATATATAAGTAATTGTTTTTAAAATGGGGGCCCCAAAAAATATGGGGCCCCAAGCGATGACTTTAGTGGCCTAGGGGTTAAGACGGCCCTGCATATACATACACTTGAGTGGCACATAAGCTAGCATGCAAATTATGCCATGCATGATGGTTCAAATATATTGAATGCAAACTATAGATTGTGCAAATTGGATAGAAGTAAATTTACTTTCTTATATAAAAATCTGGCTTAATACAAAGTTAGTCTCGTGGACTTGTTAGGATATTCCAATTGGATACTGAAATTAAGTCATGTTCTAATTAAACACCTCAAGTTTTAATGAATATTCTAATTAGACATTTTCTATTCAAGTATATTTAGAAGAAAGAAAGTGTGTTTGGCTTCATTCGTCTGTTAAAAGTTAAGTTAACCATATAAAATAAGTCATCTTTTTAAATTATTTATATGTTTATATAAATTTTGACTAAGTTTAATTTGCAGGTCAAAAAATTGGCGCGCGAGCCGATTCAAGATGAGATCTTTCGAACAATTAATCCACATAAACAGAAGAATGAGTCAGATCCTATTGATTGAGTTGAGCAAAGGGCTCAACAAGCCTATGTTAGTTGAAAAGAATAGTATATATAAAGTAATAATATGACTCTGTATACTAGTAACTTTTATTTATAATTATGCAGGCTGGTTATCAACGATACTTGACTGAGTACGCAGCAAGCCTTAAGCGATCGAGCTAACCAAATGTGTACCAAGCATGTGATGGGGAGAGGGTGGGGCCAAAAAGAGATATATAGTCTATGGTCTAGGCTCAATGAATTATGTGCAACATGTTCAGTCAGGACTGTAAGATATTGAGTCTTTACATCAGGCCAAGGCAGTTGATCATGATGTTCAGATCATGTTGTAGCAGATCGAACAACTTACATGTTCTTCACAAATGTCGAAGCAAGAAATTATAATATTTGTAGACTTTTTATTTTTGGATCCTTTGATGGATTATTTCTATTGAATTTGATGTTTCTCATTGATAGTTATTATGTTGTAGCTAATTTTAGAATTGATTTGACAACAATTAGTGATGGTTTGTAGGTGTATCTTGAATTATTTTTTAAGTTGGCAAGTGAGATGCGCAAAATTTGCTTGTTTCTGCATCTATTTTTATTTTTTTAGAAAACTAACCGACATGGTCAATTAGTACATCAATTTTTGGAAAATACAAAATGCAGAAACCTAAAAAATGTGAATGCATTTTCGTCTTTCTATTGAATCAATCTTCTCATTTATAATCAACGTCTTTTAGAGCTTTTATAGAACGGATATATTTCTATTGATAAATAAAATGTCTTCTAGAGTTTATGCTAAGAATTTTCAGATTATCTTATGGTTTTGAAAAGATCCTTTCATGTATTATGTATGTTAGGTATAAAGGAGAAGAAATTCTAACTTCAAAAGAGACGTTTCTTTTGATGAAAAAGATGAAAATTTGACCTTCTCAATTTTTGACAATGTCATTTTTCTACGTGCTTTCACATTGGAAGGATCCATATAAATCAATTATCCAACAATTTTCGTGACTTTATGAAATATCTTTCAAGTGTGCAGCTAAATCATTCAAGGATATGTGGTCAAATGTTGAGTCCGGAGCCAAAAAAACAATTTTTTTCCTCTAAAAAAACATAAACGGTATATCAATTTTTTAAACCAAAACGATAAAATCGCTACTGAGAAAGCAATATCTTTTAACGCTGTACACACCATTAAAAACTTCATTTAAAATTAATATATATATATATATATATATATATATATATATATATATAAC